GCAAGAAGGTCCCCAGTCGATCGGTTACGCCGAAACCCGTATTGCCGATCGCTGAGGAGATCGTTACCTTCAAGGTATGCCAGGAGTCTATTGTTAAGAACACGTTCCATGCTCTTGCAGAGTATGGACGTGACCGAAATAGGGCGGTAATTGTTAGGGTCGGCACGACTACCTTTTTTAGGCACAGGCTGTACGTTGGCCAGCTTCCATGCAACCGGTACTAGACCCGTCTCCAAGGAAAGGCGAAACAGACGTGTCAAGATTGGAGACAACTCAGGCGCACAGGTTTTTAAAACCAGGGCTGGGATTCCGTCGGGACCACTGGCCTTGTTCACGTCCAGATCGCGTAGCGTCCTATATACCTCCCTCTGTCGAATGCGAATTTGCGACATATTCGTCTTGCATACGCTATTAACAGAAGGAGGCAAGGCGCCACCAGTGTCAAGACGCGAAGACTCCGCAAATAGAGAAGCAAATAGATTCGCTTTCTCTACCGCAGTGTGAGCCAGCGTTCCGTCAGACCTCAGGAGCGGAGGAAGTGAGGAGCGACAGAAGTTCGATTCAACCGCCTTGGCCAGGGACCAAAAGGCTTTACTTCCCGCTGGGTAGGAAGCTAGTTTGTTCCCTATACGGCCAATGTGGTTAAATCGAGCCATCCGTAATGCCTTTTTGCATGACTTGGCAGCCCGATTAAAGGCTCTCTTCTTTTGATGAATGTCATCAGCCCTACGGCGCCTGGCATCCGCCCATGCCAAGTATGCCGCCTGCTTTTGCGCTTCGGCACGTCCGCAGTCGGCATCGAACCAAGGACGGGTCCCACCAGAGGATGCCACGTCCGAGAATGGAATGTAGTATTCCATGCCCTGGCGCAGCACCCCCGTTACGGTTTTCTATTTCTACATGTAGACAAGCGCTTAATGGCATTTGGCTACAGCAGCTGTTCTACAAAAAGAGGTTCTACAATTCTACATTATTGTCATTAGGGTTATTCTCTTTTTCGATATCTTTTACTGGATTTTACTGTTACATTGTTCTCGCTCGCACAATCGAACCAACAAAACTATGTAACTAAAGAATTGTATTGTGAACCTGATTGAAAAAGAGTAACCTATGGAATTTCTTGCTCGTTCTCCTCCATAGGAATCTACACCTTGGAATGAGCAAATAACTTTATTTTTATTTTTATTTTTTGTGACGTTCAAAGTGCCTTCCCGGTCTAATTGAAATAAATGATTTTGACTTTGACTTTGAGGGTTTGCCAAATTCGCAACGCTTAGCTGGCGGGTTAGAGATCGCAAAAAGGTTCAGGTTTATCAGAGACCGCTGCTGCCCGGTCTCTGTCAAATATGTAGTCCCTTAGTCGGGTATACCACACCCGCGGGAAGAGTAGCGGTGGTGACAAATGTATTGTATTCTACTCTCACATTACGACACTGCAATCAAATCTCATAGAATTTTTGTTCTGTGCGGGAAGAACCCTCGACGCGTTACTCAGCAGCTATTTGCGTCAACCAATTGATGATTTTCCACCTGTTTCCAGCATGATCAACCTTCAAAAACGAATTAGCCATGGCCTCAACGTCCTACAGTATTACACAACGAAGGAATGGCATTTCAGAAACAACAATTATAAAGGTTTACGGAACAGAATAACCCCTGAAGATAATGACGTGTTCTACACTGATGCTTCCACCCTGAACCCTGATGAGTACCTCAAGAATTATGTGCTGGGTACCAGAAAGTTCTGCTGTCATGAGGACCCTGCTAACCTTCCGAGAGCCAAGAAATTGCATCGAATGTGAGTTATCATATTTTGCTTTTTTATTGGATAAGTCGGTAAACGAGCAGGCGGATCACCTGATGGTAAGCAATCGGCGTCGTCCATGGACACCTGGAACACCAGAGGCGTTACAAGTGCGTTATCGAACTTTTGGGGATTAGGGATTTGTGTATTGTTGGGGATTCAGGGATTGAAGATATTGGGGAGATTGGGGAAGGGGGAGGGGGGCAGTTGGGCCTCCGATAATCTTACTCACAACCGCAAGCGTTGTGGGTAGAAGAAATCGAGCTTAGATTTAGATTCTAGCCTTTACCCAATTGTGCTTCTGTCTATTTTTAGATAGTGCCATCTTAGCATAGGGTTACACCTTATTAGTTCTTATAGGGTAGATAGAAATGTACCATATTGAACATGCCATGCACAATTTAACACCCGTTTCCCACCAGTTATGTCATGAGTTCATATTGTCCATACTAATAATAACTGCAATTTTCGAAATACCGAAAATAGCGGATAATATCTATATCTACTCGTGAACTGAACCCAAGACGAAGCACGAAGCGACGAAAACAAATAATGATCTGTAAACTCTCTACTCTATTTTAATCTACTTACTTAATATAATTTCCTAAGATTATTCTTAAACTCTTCTATATTTCCAGCCGTTACTTCGTCGACCGCTTCATCAAGTTAATCTTCATCTTCCTCGTTCTCTGGACCCTGTACAGCAACTCCCACGTCTTCGCATCATCAGTGGAACTCCTGGACAACAGCCTCAAGAGTCTACCTCTCATGCACCAAGCCAAAGCGGAAGAAATATCCAATATAGTTCTTTAAATCTTGCTAGATCGTTTTTAGACATATTTGTTTAAAATTACTAACTTAACTAGCTTATACCAACGGCTCTGCCTGTGTTTTAGAGATATTCAATGTCCTATGTGTTCATACCTGTCCTGGTCTATACGTATGCAAAATTTCATTGAAATCTGCTCAGTAGTTTTTGTGTTACAGTTGTAATTGTAAACATACTTCTTTTACGTTATGTAATATAGACAAATAGTAAGTTTTTTAGTCACAGAATAGTGTTAAACAAAGAAAATACAATGATTCAGTCTGCTACTTCATATCAACAGCCAGTAACAGGCCATTACTGGACTATGGGTGTCCTCTACTCAAGATTTCATGAATAAAAAACGAAATACAAAAAATAATAACCCTGACATCTGGCGGCGAATAGCGGCACTATTTTGTCTTTTCAAACTCTTGAAACATTGAGTTGTTTATAATGCTCACAGAATGCAAAGTTATAATTACGTAGTTTTTAAGTAGTTGTAATTATTGAATTAATTTCTTTTAACCGGCAAAAAGTGGGTGTTACGTTTAAAAGTTTGTGTACCTATCTCTGCCTCCCCGTTTTGGAAAAGGGCACGATGTTTTGTCCTGTTTGATACATAGATTATAGAATTAATACTTAGTTACCATTTTTTATGTTATCTGTAATATTTACCAAAGATCTATTTTTTTCTAATGTTTAAATTTCGGCAATATCACCTATTATTACTATATTATTCGACGAATTTAATTTCTTATTTACCTACATGTGTCATGTCCCTGTCATAATGTCTGTTTATTAATTTCATACTGGTTTTTAATGTAGAAAAACAATATTAATAACAAGTTAAAATGAAGTCGGTAAAAAAGGAACTGTTTTCCTTATTAATGTTTAACGCCTGATCCAAATTTTATAGCAAACTATCTTCAGGTGTTTAGTTGTTTGTCTATTTTTGTGTGTGGATGTATCCCTGGTGTGTTTTTTATTTTGTCTGTGATGTAAGAGTGTAAATAAATAAAAATAATACTTTTTTATGTACTTACTTCTTTATTTTGATCCACATCGATTCATTGTGCGCTTAAATTTTATTCCAACATTCTGATATTTTGTTTGAAGTACCAATCTATTCACATGAACTGTCAAAATAATATTTTGTTCTGGTAATTTCGAGAATTATCATCGGAAATTTTGGCGTCACCAGCACGTCAAGATATCTGTATGCTATAGATTTTCATCCTTACTTTCAAGTAATAAAGTTTAAAGTTCAGTAATTAACTTTTAAATATTCGTATAGTTTGACATGTCATCGTTCCATTCAACTGAACAATGCCCTTGTCTCTTCACTACGCATTGACCTTAAAACGCAACAACCAATCATATGTAATGTTATATTTTTAACCAATGATGTGGTTTGTTATGATAATTTTACTCCAATGGAAATAATCTTGTGAATCAACAAGAACAGGACATGCGTCATCGAAAACATACTATTGCATCAGAAAATCGTCAAGGACGTAGGTCTACATTGCCCATTCCTCACTGGAATCGATTTGCCAATTCGGATTGAACATAATATCGAATCGATTAATATTATAACAGTAATTTTGTTAATGTTTTTAGTTACAGAGTAATTTTTAACGTCGATGGCGCGTTGAAAATTGTATTAAATATTTCCGAAGACCTGCTGAAGTTAATGATATACTAAAATAATTAATAAAATTATAAATATGCAAATATTGTGGTTCTACACAGTATTTAAGGAAAGTCTAAATAAAATGGTAGTTTTCTTATAAAGACGTTTTGTGTGCAAATTTTTATATATTGGTTTAGTAAAACTTTTTAAGTGTCTTTTTTAATAAATATGTAATGTAAAAAAAAATACAAAACACTTGTCTAAATATGCATATAATAATTATCTTGATTTCTCATCAAAATAACTTAAAAAGGCAACCTAATGGACAAAAATCTAGTAGTTATACAATAAATATGTTACTTTAATCCAAAACCTAGGAACTTTAATAAAATTATTTCTGTATCGAGTTTCAAATCGATTAAACTGAATCGTTGCGGTTGGCTTACTCGCATCACTATTCGAGCAAAGACAACAAAAGTAATATTTTTATCTGTCATTCCTTTATTTCTCACAAAATGGCTGAACTATAGAGACGTGTACTAAAGTTATAATCGTCATAATGGAGCTTAATAACGTTCAATATACCAACAAAAACAAGTGTTTAAGTAATTTTTCGACCACAGACGTGTTGATTTGCGAAGTTAAATCTACAACAGTGTGTATACCCGAAGTGATTTCGTTTCGTGAACGCGTGTGGATTTCCCCTGATTATCCTTTACAATCTATCAAAAACATCACCAAGTGCTGCAGATTCGTACATCGGCCTTCTCCGGACATTGTTCAAGATTCTAGAGTCTCAACAATGTGCGCGTGAGTGAAAATGCCCTAACTGTGATTTAGTTACAAGTGTATAGAAAATAGTGTAAGAAATAAAAAAAACAAAGATGAATTTTGCTGCTAATCGCCCCGATAGACGCGCCGTTTACAACCCTAGCCCTCCGTATTCCATCGCCAACTTCCACACAGAAACAAAGAAGGAAATGAGGCACTCGTTCGGCGAGGATATTTTCTTAGTACCCAACAACCTTCATCTAATTCCGGATCCTTTGATGAAGAATTTGGCTGATACGATCATTACAGAGGAAAAAATGGCGCCTAAATCCAAATTAAATAGCAAAATTGATGTGAAAACAGAAGAAGACATTCATATTGAACCTGATTACTCCCCTTTATCAGGCATTACAAGTTTCTTTGCTGGCGTCATGAACGTAATTACCAGCGCGATGTTTAGTAAGCGGAAACAAGCTGATTTCGTTGCGCCGCCGGTCCACCAGATGGCGGCACCGACGATGTGGCATCCCGCCAAAGTTTTGGATGAAAATAAAATTGTTCAAGATGAAAATCGTTCGGGTGATAACTCTAGTAAGTTTTCGGCGTCAGAAATGACGGACTGTAAGAAGGCGGCGGCCCATTGTCAGAGCAAACTCGACCAGGTCCGCCTCCTACTCGGTACCAAGCCTGTACCATGCAACAGCTGGGCCCGGAGACGACCCAAGCGGATGTTTGTGGAAGCCAGCTCTGTAGAAGACTGTTTCGAAGATGCCTTCTCGCCAGAAGACTTTGAAAACATTGCCAAAAACTCCTACATTGAATACTCCAGTCCTGTGTGTTTCCATGACAATGCCTTCCATGAAATTGATGCCCCTAAGGTCAAAACCGAGATTGGAATGCCTTCTGAAGCCACTACCAACCCTCCTAAACCAATTATCGAGCCTCCACAAATCTGTGAGACCACAGAAATTGTTAAAAATGTACCTGAAATTAAAACTACCAATGATAGTAAGCTAATTAATGAAACAAAGCAAGAGTTGGTCGCTTCTTGTGAAGACAAGCTCAGCAAGCTGAAGGCACTGATGCAGGAGCGGAAAAATAAGTCAAAATCACCAATTCCTATTCCAGAACCTGAACCTGTGAAGGTCACAGAACATATTGACCTACCAAAGCCTAGAACACCTACTAAAGTAAAGGACAAAAGGTTTAAGAACCCCAACCGCACCTGCAGTAAGCGAACAAAGTCTAAAATGAGGAAGAGCATCCTGGACGACTTGCAATTTGCAAATGAGATCTGCATTGATGAAATTGTCACTCCTGAAAACTCCCCATCAATTGGTTCCTTCGATAAGTACAGTACAACACCGGAACCGGAGAAAGATTACTTTGATGAAGTTTCTGGACGTTTCAACCCAGGTTCCGTACCAGAAAGCGAGGATTCCTTCCAAATTGTATTCAATGATGCTCCTAAGTTACGTAGAACATCGGACTGCGAATCAGAAGACTCTTTTATCGTGTTTGAGGATTCACCGGACAGCTGCTACACATCAAATGATGTGTTTGGAGATTCCAGTGACTCTGAGGAGTATGACAGTGATTCAGATGACATGAGTGACTCTGGCTGTGGAAATTTCTCATTGGCGGCTTCGCAGTTGTCTAAAAGTGTCAATAATTTGGCGGATGACAGCCTGTATGATGAGAGTGATGCAGAAGATGAAGTGGACTGTGCTAATGTGACATTGTGTGATAGAGTGGGTGTTGGTGAGGTAGCGGAGTTGGAGAGTGAGAAATCCAGTGGTCTCCTGCTGGATGATAGAAAGAAGAAGTTACGAAGAGCGTTACCAGCTAAGAAGGTGAGTTTTTTGTTTATTTTTCTTTTATTTTACAGGAACATTATGTCACAGTTTTGGTATTAAAAATGTTATATTGTTGTACTGTTCACAATGTATGTAGAATCGGTCTAAAGCATCAAAAACTAGTTATTGCTAAAAGTAGGTAGGTTACTATTTTGTTACTATTATTAAGATATGTGGGGTAGTTAGTAGGTACAAAAGATTGTCATTTTGCCCAAAACCCACAGGAAGAGTAAGGATTCTAATGGTCATAATTTACCCTGCCATCGCCAGATACCAATAAAACAAGTAAATAAATAAAATTCTCAAAATATTTGATAAATATTCTTGAAATTGCATCATACTATTTATATTGGTTCCACTATCTGCTGCAGATAACATAATCAACACAAGAATTATTTGTATTTCTTTCATTTCTAATTCTAGAGTCGGACAATGTATTATTAAGTCTTTTACAAATATTCTCAGTACTATTTCACCCAGTACCTTCTGTTTACATGAGATTCAACATATTGTTGACCTTTCAAAATGACTCAAAAGTCAGTTCCCTTTTGACTTTAGTCTGGCATCTAAAAAACTATTTGTGAATAAGAATGTAACTATGATAATAAGTAGGTATTTGATAAATAAGTAGTTTCAACACAAATGTACTGTTTATCCTTATTTACTCGTGTAATTTTTGAGTCATGAATAATAGTTATTCAAACAAATAAATTATCTTTAGATAATTTTGTTAGTGTCGCATTTGAAAGTAAGTTTGTCTAATGCCTAAATTCGCCGCGCCTTTGTTCCATTGTACAGAAACTACAGAGCGCCACCAGTAGGTGGTGGAGGGTAGTATAACCTTCTTACATACTTCTTTAACTCGTCGAGTACCGGTTTTGTAGACACAATTATAGAACAATAGGTTGCGGTCACCGGTGACCGCTTGGTGTTTGACAGTTTAACTTCCATCATATTCATACATCTGATGGTATACAGAAACTACAAAAAGCCACCTACACATACTTCTTTAGCTTCCATCACATTCATACATCTGATGGTATACAGAAACTACAGAGCGCCACCTACTACGCTCCTTACATACTTCTTTAGCTTCCATCATATTCATACATCTGATGGTATACAGAAACTACAGAGCGCCACCTACTACGCTCCTTACATACTTCTTTAGCTTCCATCATATTCATACATCTGATGGTATACAGAAACTACA